GGCTGTTTAAAAACATCTCTGACCTTCACTCTTCACTCATCAGTAAAAGGTACTTTCCTAATCAATTGCATCTGATATGAGTAGGAAATGTTCTAGATTATTTAAACTTAATGCCTCTGGACCATAATACCATAGAAGCTCTGTGTGCTGATTGTAAAGCGTCCTTGAGCTTTTGGAAGAGCTCTATGTTGAAATCTATTATTACTTTTTAATCATGATGATTATTATTAATCTAGTTGAATTTATTCAAATGAATTATTTGATAATCATTATTATTGTTTTATGAACTACTTTGTTATTATAATAATAATAATAACATTTTATTATAATATACTAATATATACATTATTATAATAATATAATAATTTATTATTATTATTACTTTTCCTTTAGATTTCTGAATTCAGTCTCTTTTCCACTTTGAACAAAATGCATCTAAAACCCAACATGAATGAATTCCGTGGTGTTGCAGCACTCGAACAGAATCTATTCTAGCGCTTCCTTTGGATCATGATTTTTGCTGTATTTTGGTGTAGTAGCAGCTCTCTCATTGTATTCTAGGCAGTGTGTGCCAGCCACTTCTCCAGAGGTCTTAATGGATCTGGCCTGTCAGATATCACAGCAGCAGACCACAGAGGTGCTAGTGGAAGATGATGATGGGGTGTCAGAAGCAGCTCTGCAGGTTCTGCGGCAAAGTGACTTTAATCCCTGCTGCACTCTTTCTGTGAAATTTTCCAAAGACAAACTAAACAACAACATTAGAAATCAGCGTCGCTTCCTCAGATGTCTTGTTTCGAAACTGTTGATGTCAGAAATCTTTGAGGGACCTGATGGAGCCAAAAACCTGGCTCTGAACTCAAAAGGTAAGACACTTTATTTGTTTTGATTTCCTTTTCTTAAAAATGTACCATTTCTGATCCTGACTTATACAGGACCTCTCACTGTTGACAACATAGGTGGCCTTCAAAATTAACAGTTGTTGTGTGTGAACAGCTCTGAGGGATGATCTCTACTTTGAAGTCGGCAGTCTGTTGGCCCTCTCTTTGGTTCACGGAGGTCCTCCTTTGGGCTTCTTCTCTCCAGCACTGTACCATAGTCTGTTTAACTACCCCACAAACTACAGACCTACATTACAAGACCTTGGAGACACTGCTTTTGCACACAAAATTAGACAGGTGAGTTTTGTTTTTCCGTACACTGTACTTTAAAACTGCTGTTGCGCTGAGACACGTGATTATAGTGAACCAAGTGGTTGTTGTACACCTGTTAAACTCTGAGTGCACTTTTAGATCGCAGAAGCAAACTCCATGAAGGAGCTGAGATGCGCAATGCAGTCAGCATCACAGTATTTGGAAGCAGCAGGTTGCTGGCGAAACATCAGCAAACTCTCAGAGAAGGACATGTTAGTGGAGGATGTACTAAATTTCTACCTGATCATCAGACTACAGCTGCCTCTGCAGAGGTTGGTACCTTAACTTATTCCTATGGTGGAAAAGCATTATACCAGTCTTCAGTGTCACATGTTCCATCAGAAATCATTCCAATATGCTGACTTGGTGCTCAAGAAACTTTTCTTACCGTTTTCAAAACTGAAAGCAGTTGTGCTGCTGAATATTTTTTTGCTGAAACGTGATGCTTTTTTTTTTTCAGGATTCTTTGATGAATAGAAAAGTTCAAAAGAACAGTATTTATCTGAAATATAATTTTTTGTAACAACGTAAAAATCGTTACTGTCACTTTTGTGATCAATTTAAAGCATCTAAATTAAAGTATTTATTTAAAAAAATCTTACTAAGAAAACTTTTGAATGGATGTGTATACAGCAGATACGTTTAATGCTTTTTTTCTCACTGTAGTAAATGCTCATTCAAGTGTAATCGCCTTTCTCAGATTTCGTGAAGGTTTGAGGACACTAGGACTGTTTGAGCAGGTTCAGATGTGTACAGAGGCTTTCCATTCAGTCTTCTGTGGGCCTGTGGAAAGGCTCACAGCTGAATCAGTCATGGATCTCTTTACAGTCCAGTTTTCAGAAGAAAAAGAGAACACAACATTAAACTTTTGGAAAAAGTATCTGCATGAGTGTGACGGTATGTTCGCTACAGAATTCATATTGTGTGTTGGAAGAATTTAGATTCTTGTGTATATTCTAAAATTTCTAATAATAAAATATGACATTAAGATGTGTTAGAAAACCAGCTGTAATTTGCATGATCTTAACCTTTGGCTTGTGTTTCAGAGGGTCGGTGTGCAGCATCACTCAAGGACCTCCTAACATTTGCCACTGCTACAGATTTGGTTCCATCCATTGGATTCCATCCCACTCCCTCTATTTCATTCTTCAGCTCATCAGACCCCTCGTGTGCCTTTCCTCAGAGCCACTGTGATGCCAATCATCTCATTCTGCCAATAGTACCCTCCTATGAGCTCTTCAAGAAACACTTGGATTACACAGTGTGTCAGTTCTCAGTTATGCAGGACATTTAAAAAAACTCTTCTCCTGACTGGATATTTCAGTATGTTTACAGCGTAGATTTACCTAATGATCTACAATGGTCTATTTATTGGGGGTAATGAGTGTTATATAAACAGTATTTTTCAACCTAACTCACGTTAACATTACTTGATCATAGATTGCTCAGTTAATTATCAGTCAATTTGAATCCCTCAACAGAAAAGAAAGACATTTTAACAGCTTTGCTTTGAGCCGCTCAGCCCCATTAGGTCTTCAGCTGCAAAGCAATACATGTTCCACAATCTTAGATGTGATAAGGTTGTTCTTTGTGTTTTCAACAACAAACAAAAGAGCTTTTCTTGTAAATTTAGGTGCACAGGTTATAGCTAGTAGCGTGGCCAAAGTTTATACTATTGAGTAGTTTTGTGTTCTGTCGAACAGCATGGGTATTTAGCAGTAATGGGAATTTGATTTGATTCATTTATTTTTTTAATAAAAAAACAGTTCACAAAATAACAACAGGTTGTAATTTTTTGGTAGCCACAAGATGGTGCAATTGTCAATTATTATTATTTAAAATTTTTTTTTGCCCTACAATGGCTAACTGCTGCCACTATATGAATCAGTAGTTACTGAGATGAATGATCTCACTGTTTTGTGCCAGAGACCCATGTTAGAAACATACAGAAGCTGGTATGCTTTTGTTTTTGTATAATGTTTTATTTCTCCAGAAGTAGTTTAAGAGTGTATGATAGTTTGCCAGCTCTATATCTGTCATAATTTATTAAACTTTTTACTTTTCTGTTACCCTCAGTGTTTTTCCCCTTGATTTATTAAATGATTGCAGATCTAGTAGTTTTAATACTAGTGAACAATCAAAAAGATAGTCTGAAGAAATTTTGTTAGGGCTAAGTTGTTGGTTGTGGTAAAAAGTATGACACAACTGTTGTATGTTGTAATCAATTTTTGGAAAAACTGATATCAATATATCAGTTTAAGTGGTTTATGATTATGTCACTCCTTGGATCATAGTTAAACATGATAATGAATAGCTTTACAATGCATTTTCATAGTCATACATGAAGTCCATATATGTCTATGGGTCTAAAAATCACACATTTGAAATATAATTAAAATTTAAATCATTTTAAGACCCCTTTGGAAATTCACTAAGGACCCCTAGAGGCCCTGGCCCCCTGGTTGAGAGCCACTGACATAAAAATAATTAAAAACTTGATCCATCCAACAACTTTGAATCAATCGTTGTAAATTTGCCAGGACCAAACCAAAACCCCCAGACAGTGTGCACCTCAATCATCTCTGCGTGTCAGCGTGCGCGTTCTTGTACAACATACAGAACTACCAAATTTTGCTATAAGTTTGATTGCATC